TCACACATAGCGGGGGGACAAGAATCGAAGAGGATGGCGCCCACGCTTCAACTGCATGATGTTGGTTGTCTTTCTGTCCTGCCCCCTCGCCCTAGCTTCGTCGATTTAGTGAGGGGGGAGGTACGGGGGGGCTCCTCCTTTGTCGAATGGTTGTCGTTACAGCAAGCAAATTGATGTGTATTGCAGACGAAAGAGCCATCGGAGTTATGTCTCCTTTTGATGCCACCAATTTAGAATAACTTAACTGCGGCGATTTCAGATTAATTCGTCCACGAAAGCAGAGTCCATGGACATGACACACTCGTGTTTGGCGCGCTCCTTCTCCACCACAAATCATACATTCACATACCATCCTTCCAGGTGCCGTGGTTGGTGGTTGTCGTTGGTCGGCCGGTTAGCACGGCCGGTTCGTTACGTCTTTCACAGCCAGCCGTGAACTCAACAAGCCGCCGGGGTGTTGTCGGATCGTTCCCTCGCTCTTGACGTGGTCCTCCAAGCCGCACAGAGATGGACCCATCATCGCAGTTCAAGCACGTTGTGAAAGGGCAAGTCTTCGGTTCGTCGAAAGAGGTGACTTCGGCTATCAAGCAATCCTTTTTGCGCGATCTCCGAGGTTGTTCGAGTACTGGTGGAGGTGGCTACTCCAAGATCTTCCGCTGCGCAGGGCGCAAATACGATGCGAAGAGAAAGAAGGAGGTCGGTTGCCTCGCTCGAGTTCGTGCGACGAAGTCCAGGTAAGAAGACCACATTTATTTCACTTGCTCGTGCTGCCCACATCGGAGCAGCAACAACGCCGCAAGTCTACCTCACCATTTGTTCTTTGAGGATGAGGACTGTATTTCGCGGGGAGTTGGCCGCATGCTTGCGCTTACGCTAATCGGTAGTAGTCGAGACTGTGTGTCTTGCCTTACTGATGTATCTACACGCTTTTCAAGTAATAAGTGTGCAGTGCCATCGCCGAAGTACGTGCCCTCTCGAAGAAGGCGCTCTCTGGCAACGTGCCTTGTTTCATTTCACACGTCATTTCACACTCTAAATATTGTATGGATTACAGACTAGTGACAGCACGCAGGAAATGACCCAAGCTGCATACCCTCGACTCCTTCTTCCACCGATGGATACAGAGTGGTGCTTGGTGAAAAGTACAAGAGTTGACCTTTGGACCGGTTGGCATCACCGTTCATTCATCATACATTCATACACGATGCTTTCCGACGTGATGCTTTTGAGCAACGTCCACCCTGTTGTTGTTGCATCGCAAAGTTACGCAGGCTATTCCGTCGACTCCGCCGAGTTTCAACCCGAGTTCATCCACAAGGAGTTTAGTTGTAATATAAGAAGCGGTGTACCACACAAAATGGTAGAAAAATCTAGTTTCCACGTTTGTCTGTTTGTTTTTGCGATCGGTCGCACCGGTGGTCTACTCACGCTCCGACTTCATGGTCGATGAGGGACGGGACAACTGAACCTTCCGCGCCATACAAAGTAGATGACGCGAGCACCGCAAAGAGGGCCAACGCGCAAGCATAGCCCCAAAACACGGCGAACGCACGATAAGAACTCTGGAAGGTGGTGGGTGACCCCAGCGGCAATCAGTCTCAAACGGAAGGTGGGGGGCGGGTGCACCACGCGAAATAACACCTGTATTGTCCGTGCGGAGAGGGGGGGGCGTACTCTCATGTTTTGCATGCCTTAGACTAAATAGCTGTTAAGACTATTCGTTCATTGACCACACGTCCTCGAGAGGACGGAGCATTGTTCCCACAGGACCGATCGCCGATGGCCAATCGTTTCTTCCTACTGTGCCAATGGTGTCCCAAAAATGTTTTCCCTGGCCACTCTGTCCTTTCGATATCACTTCCCGCCTCTTCAACCAACTTCCTTTGCCCCATGCAGTACAGCTACCTCCACGGTATTCGCCTGCCTATTTGATGGCTAAAACATGTCCCTGCACCTTCCTTCTACTTTTTTCCCAGCTCAGTCATGCCATGTATATTTCTGTCTACTTGTCGTACCACGGGTATTCCGCACTAAATGGACCCGGCCTTCGCACCCGGAGCCGCCTTCACATTACATTGTTACAGAAGTTGTCGTCGCCATCGTCTACCATTCGAATCTTCGTCTCCTTTTCTCGAAGACCAATGTCTCCAGTGCTAAATTTGACGTTCAGGTTTGGCCCTGCATCCTTTGTCATGTAGTTGGTACTCCTTGAACCTATTCCTTCTCTAGCATTCCACACACATTCTCTAGGCCCTCATTCTCCTTGGTGTCTTTGGCTAGATTATTTTCTTCTCTCTTGGCAAAAGAAATACGTTGCATATCTTTTTCTTGGATCCCTCTAGACCTATCGTTTCCGACATATTGACTTAATCGATTTCGAACTCGTGTCATACGTCATTTACAGACCTTAACCACACCGACCGTGAGTTATCTTCCCATTTTTCTTGTTTGCCTGCTTCGCCTCCCAAGCTACTATTATTCTAGGGTGGTTATCGCAGGAAGAGTCTAACAAAAAGCACCCTTCCTTCCAGAATAATTATTGGGCATATCTCGCGTTGTTTCATTTTTGGAAACATCGGAAAGATACCCCAGCTGGGGGAGTTCAAGAGGAATCGTTTGCCGCACCCTTTTCAACAGACGACGAGTGAGTGCAACACACAAAAAAAATCGATCCACAGATTTGCACGCCTGCAGACGGAGCGTTTGACGGTGTTTTTAAATTTTGGTACAACTTCACCCACCTCCGAGAAAAGTAGAAGAAGTGGAAAAAGAGCCCCCGACGGACCACATATCAAAAAGGGTGCACTGATTGTACCCTTTGTGGGGGTAGTTGGCCTGTGACCACGGAAGGCATCCGCGTCGTCAGTTGGACCGCCGGTAAGGATGTCAGAAGGCACTGCGCAGAGACATGAACGGTTTTGAATGTGAAGACAACAACGACGCGCGCGACCTCCCTCCGGCGGGGTCCCGACTGATGATCGTACGCCGAAAGGTGCGTAGACATAAAATAAAACCGGTTTACCCGGTGGTCTACAGTCATGTCTTATTGGGGTTTACCTCGCCAAGCCACTACTTACTACTGTAGCAGGATGTGACTTCTTCTCTCTGTAGAATGAAGAAATTGCAACTCGAAGTAGAGAAAGCGACGATGCGTCAAACGTACGCACTGAAAAATGTGCAGACTGGCGCCAGAAGAGATGAGATTATAGTCTTGAACGAACATACTTTTCCAAGTTTACGACAAATAAACAGCCTTCTACACAAACCTCACGATGCATTTTTTATTGCTTGGTTCTTTCGATCATGTCCAGGCGAAAAAATCTCGAGATGTGGAAAATTACCGAGGCCCGTTTCGTGCACAACAACTGCACGGGCGAGCAGGAGAACGCCAGTCTTTCAGCTGTCGACGAGATGATCGCAACCTTAGTCAGAGCCACCCCTTCCATCAGCGGGCCCGCAATCACAAAGATGCTCAAAGACGGTTCAGGAATCAGCGTCCACCCGCGCACAGCACTTCGAGCGAAGGCCAAGGCGTTGGGAAGAACGGGCAGCGGCAGCACGGAGGGATTCACGGTGCTCACATCTCTTCTCGAGCAGCTCGACGCGAGCGACAAGTACACCCATTCTTCGATAGAGGCAAGAAGAAAATTTGGTGCCCACCATTCAATCAAACACTTCGTATTTGTATTTGCGTCCTGGTGATGTGTTCTGACATAAGTTTGTCGGGGGGGGCGCTTTTTACCTCTATCTTGCGTGTATGGCGCTCCGATCGTACTCTCTGACGCCAGTTTAAGCACAACAACATTTAACACCCATATTTGCTTTCAAAATGTGGCTATTAGCGTTCGGAGTTTTCGAGCTCGAAGCCTGGAATTTCCGACGTCGCATGCATAGCCCCCAAGAATGCGCAGGTGTCGTAGCATCATTACCACCGCAACTTCCATCTGCTTGAATACATCGCGAATTTTGGTCCTTTCGGATTTCTCCCATTTGTTGCCGGTTTGGAGCACTCCTGTCTCTGCATGTTCGGAAAAGATCACGAGTCCCGGTTGCGGCGTCTGACCACTGGGCGCGAGACGTCACCTTAAAAAAACTGTCCCCCTCAAAAGCAAACATTGGCTTTTGACACGTTTACTCTAGTACCGTCAAGACCGAGGTAAAGCCCCCCCCTAATCCTAACTCCGCGCAACGGGAGATAATCCCACCACGTTGTGTCAAATCGGCCAAGCACCCTCGAGGCAGCTACACAGTGCTCATAACTGTCTCTGGAAGTGAAAGCACCAGAAAATGTCATTCGAAGCTGTCATCCGTATGCAAGGAAGCAAGCACAGGATACCGAACACCCTCAGCAGGATGCAGCGCACCCTCCATGCGACTCGCAGAATATCTCACCGCGCTTTGCGCTTGGTGATGTGAGAGCCTGGTCCGGTGAGAACCCGGCGTGCTCCGTCCCGGCTTTGTAGGGATGTGAGGTCAATGGTCTTTCGACTACGGCATGCACGACTATGAGTACAACCCGCCCCCCCCCCCGGCGCGAAAAATGAACAAACGGTGACATATCGGCGCCCCCAGAGAGCGTTCTCATGTTCATCGGCGATGATCAGAAATGCAAATGAAAGGGATCCTCGTGACGACTGCCAAAAATACCCGGGCGATGAGATTGTTGAGCTGTACCTGGGGATTGCGAATGGTGGAGCTCGTCGGGACGATGTCGGTCGTTGGCTATCTATTGGGACAGTAGAGTGATCATGACGACAGCAGCCACAGCGTTTTCGTCCCGGTTTTCATGATACGATGTTGTTCTTGTTTGTTTTTCCTGTATTTTTTATTGCTTACCTCCCCACATTTTCTTGCTTCTTCCGATACTCTGTTGGTGTTTTGCTTCTTGCTGCTTGTTTTTCGTTGACGAGTAAGCCTGCCTGGCTCCTGCCCTTGTTTTTCCGTGAACTTGCACAATCACAAAGTGGACCGCCAACAACCGCTTTGCGCGGTGCTTCGTAATGCCTGGCGGGGCCGCCAAGGTGGCTGCCAGGAGTTCAAACAAGGTATTTTTACAGATTGCCAGCAACACCCCAACACTGCTAGACTGTGGGTCGTTCGTTTGTTGTCGCGACTGCGGCCTCAGACGAATCGCGATCCAGCCTGGCTAGTGCGAGATTGTATAGTATAGTATAGTATATTTAACCGTTCACGAAATTGTGGACAATCGTTATTGCACTTCGAACGTACAGGACAATAATCTTTTCAGGTGTGGCATTGCAGCGGCTAATTGCCCGCGTTTTATTGAGTCGGTCTAGGGAATGCGGAGTAGAAACATGATCTATCGCGGCATTTGGAACCACAAATTGTCGCGTTGAACTCCGAAGTAGTGTATCTGCTCGTGTGGGTGGATAGTCGAGTGGACATGATGCGTGAGAGACCAGAAACCTGGCAGTCGAGTGCTTCTAGCTGCTCCCCCGCCCCACGTCAACACGAACACAACCATGGGTTGTTGTGAAACTAAATTCCGTCACGATGGTCTTAACAAGCAACAAAACGTGCTCCGATTTTGTTGCCCAAAGTGTGTAAGGAGTTGTTATCATCATAACCCTTGCTCCAGAAAGGGGCGATTCGCAAGTGTTTCCGGCGAGAGTGTGCTTACTCACCATGATTTAATGCTCTCCACAATGACGATACAGGCGTTTTGCTTAGACGGGGCACATCTGCGGGGCTCGTGGAACGGTGTCATCCTGACGATCACCACTACGGACGCCAACAACAACATCAACCTGTGCGCGTTCGCGGTGGTCCGCGAGGAGAACGCAAAGTCCTACGAGTACTTGCTCGGGAAGGCTATGGGCAGCAAGCGGATGAAGAAGTTTCTCAACGCGACAACGACGACCTGCTTCACGGACAACGACAAGGGTGCCGATGCCGCCATGAACAAGCTCGCCCCGCTGACGGAGGTCCGGCACTGCCTAGAGCACATCCTCAGAAGTTGCCGCATATGGGTCAAGGTGCGACGCCTAGTCTAGGGTGCCTTCCGTTTCGAACGCGCCGAGTAAGATAGTAACCTTACCCGCAATGTCATTTGAGGTTGAAAGTTCCGTGTCCGTTTGTCTTCCCCCAGCATATTTTCCTTTGCCCATCTGCGGCACTGCGGGACTTCAATGTCCAAGCACTGACGGAGGCTTCGTGGGCGTCACCCAGGTTCGACTCATGAAGTCCACGAGGGTGGGGGAATCCTGTGATTGGTGTGCGATGCGTGGCTCTCCTGTGGCCGGCGTCTAAGGCAATACCTGTACATTTTACCCAAACACCTCGGAACCTCAACTACGTAACCGTTTCCCTCTGGCTGGTCTGGTGTGGTTTGATTTAAATGTTTACCTGAAGACGTTGAAATGTTCTGGATTTCATTGCTTGCACGCCGGTCTAGTACCACCGACGGTTGCTCGCTGATTTGACCTGTTTCGTTGGATGCACACAGAAACGTTTCTTCATGTTTCTTAAAACGTTGATAATCGCGATGTAAATCAAGTGCGCTGGCTCTTCGTATGCCCCAGCGAAGGGGGTCTTGCCTTGAACTGTCCGTTCTAGACACCCACGCACAGCGTATCCGAGAAAAAACGTACATCAGACGAAACTCTTAGAATACACCTCAACCTGTTCATCGTGCGTGAAAGATCTCATTGCGATTCCTGTCCGCTGCCTCCAACTCCTCAGCACGGCAAGACACACGCGTACGAAGCCGCGAAGAGTTCAACAGAGCCGGAATTCCTCGCCTGCATGGAATGTTTACACGACATTTCACCGACTGCGCACGACAAGTTGGACGCCATTCCTCACGAGCGCTGGGCGTACTACGCAGGCCGGCAGAATGTGTGCTGGCTCCAGGTCAACAGCAACCCGGCGGAGTCCATGAACAAGACGCTCCTGGAGGTGATAAATTATTGTTGAAAGCAAGCTGATTATATGCCAGTGACAGTAGAAGGCACACATTTTTCGCAAAACCTTAGGATTTGCCTCCTAAACGAATCAGGTGTTTCCTTGTTTTAGCTCAAGCTTGCCTACAAGGCACTGCCAGTGGTGATCTTGCCTCGCTCACTCACACGCGATGGTTCGCGTCATCCTGTTTGGCGTCGTTTTGAATGTACCGGCTGAGTTGAGAAATCATGCAAAAGTCTCTTGATGCCTATACACAAACACAGCTGTGACTTGAACCTTAGTGATCTCTTCGTCGACGTCAATGAGAATACCCTCACTCTGTTACGAGTAAAGGTCCCTGAAGTGGTGAATAACCGTTCACCAACGGAGGTAATTTCGCTCTTATTTCAATGTGGCAAGGAACGGCCAAGCGTGGCTGACTTTGATCGGCCTCGCTAGGTTGAAGGGGTGAGAGTGAGCCTCAGGGGCCCGCTTCCACCCTCTGGCTGGTCGCAGCAGACGGAGGGTCTTTTCGATGATCATCAGACCTCGAGAACTGCCTTCCTAGGGTCACGGGTCCTACTGTTGTATGTGTATGTGCGCCCCTACCACTGGGAAGATACCTATATCCTGGTTTCCGCATTAATGTACATCTCGCATGAAATGAAACCCCCGTTGCAAATCAACTTGTTGTAACGTTCGCGGTGTTTTTTTCAGGAGTGTGGGGTCAAGAGTGGTTGCCACGCCGATGGCATGGGAATGTCTGTTGTTGTAGATTGGATCTATCTCTCTCAATGCAGGTTGTTCCAAATGAAATCACTCGAGCACTGTTGTTCCGTTGCTCCCGTGCCAATTACACGACTAAAGCTGTATGGGTAGTTCTCAGACCACTACTGCAAGTGCGCACCTGCACTTTCACACGCTTCCCTCGCCCGTTGGTCCTTCATACGCAGCTGCGAGGGAAGCCCATCTTCGATTTGGTGCATGGCTGCATCATGTTGATCGCCAAGCGCCTCTTCGACGCCAGTGAGCTCAAGAAAGATGACCAAAGCCAGGTGCACACCCCATTTGCGACGGCCCACTTCGACGAGGCATCCCGGACCTCCCGCAAGTGAGAATAAAATGCTGAAAGCACCAGATACACGGCAAAGACACATCTACAAATTTGTAACAGCAGGGGCGCAAACTGCCTACGAACTGTACCCGAAACAAAAAAGTCTACAAGAAACACTGTGTGTTTCAGACCAATGGAGATATCTTCAAAAACCACGCAGTCAGAGGGAAAAACGCGTAAATTGACGTGAGATGTTGCGGGGAACGTAGGCATAGGGATGTTTGGGCTCCCAGTTTGCTGAAGGGTTCTCGCCACCAGAGTATTAGCTATGGGTTTGGCGATTTTCCCGGCAAGGTTCTTTACAACCGTTTTGAAACGGAACGGTCGCCACCAAACAAGTGATCTGTCACGACCTTATAACTTCTTTATTTATTCGACATCGATGTAACACCCCAGCACCCAACAATGGCGAGGTTTGTAACCATTAACAGTGACACCCAAGAATGATAGGGTTTGGAACCATGGAGGGCAAACATGGTGCCGTGAGTTCCTCAGACAATCACCGTGAGTTCCTCAGACAACCAAGTGTGATGCTCCTTGCCCTGTTCCCTTCCACTTCAGGCACAATGCCTCACCTCTCGGCGGTGGCAAGTGGTTTGTAACGGACACCAAGACAGGCGCCACACATGGGCACAAGGCGTCCATCAAGTGGGCCTCCAGCCAATCCCGAGGCCCTCCCGAGATGGACTGCACCTGCGGCGTCCCAAAGAAGATGCAGCTGCCATGCAGCCACTTGTTGGCAGTGGCGAAAGGTGGGAAAGCTGATGTCTACGTTTGTGTGCGTCTCGGTTGGTCTCAGTACTGACTCCCACCATGATTTGATTGAAGCCATTAACGATCGCTGCTGATCGAGGATGATACGATGCTTCACCTGAGAATCGGCGTTTTTGCCATGGTTGAAATGCGAACCGAGCTCATGGTTGCAAGGTTATTGACCGGAAACACAGGGGAGAGAGACGTGAGACAATTCTGAAACGGATTGGGGGTACTTTAGAAAGTTCTCGTGTTTTTTGCGTGCCCTGCAATGTTTCCCATGCCTCCCATTCGCGCTTCGACAAGGGAATGGAGCCACTCGGGAAGATATATTGAACAGTACAGTTGCACAGGATCCATCGTGTCACACTAACCACCCAGTACTTGTTCTTCTTGTGCTTCTGTCTTCAAACTCACACGTACGTCTGAAACCTTGCCGCAGCCCAAAAGAAGACAAAGCGGACCCTCTCACTGATCAACAAGAACTTCGAGATGAAGGCATACCGCGATCTGGCCTCTGCTCACCCGGTGGATCTACCAGCATCGAGCTCGCTCGAGAAGGACTCGAGCAAGAAGGGACCGAAGATGGTAAAGCGCCCCGGTGCAAAGAGTCCTACCCCAACCAGGCGCATCCTTAAACGCGTCAGGTCGAAGGGGGAAGAGCCAGCTCGCAGGAAGAAGAGGACCAGAACAAGAAAGTGATGACTTGGGTGCTCACACCCGAGATGCAGTAGCTCTGCATTTGTGTCTGGCTCCGACCAAATCCCTCAAGAACTTTGCATGGGCGCGTCGGCCGGTAATTGATCGTGAGCCGATACACCCTCTTGTATGTCTTTCACACAGGGTTATACCGCTGCCGTGATGAGGCGTGTTGAGACTTACCTCGGAGTTTCGTGTCGAGTTCGTTTGCTGTGGCTTGAACGTGCTGTTGCGTGTTGACTCCTTGTTTCAAGGCGCGTGGACTGATGCGACGGAGACCTTGCAACTTAATGTTTGAGTACATATGTTTCATCCGGGAAACAAATCTTCCAGAGTCAAACGGTGGGCTATATTGGCTGCGTAATATTTACTGAAGTACGCAGCACCCTTCCTTCTGGATGAACTCGCCAGAAAGTATGGGTCGTATTCTCAGGTAGAGCATGCGTGTTTTGCGCCAATCTTACAGGCGTGTGGTCAGTTACACCCCAGGCAGCGATACAGTATACTGCGAGGGGGGTGTCTGCCCCCAAACACGACGGCATGTGAGTTCGTCGTGTCCACATGTCGCATCTCCTACACCAACTCTCGCAGCAAAATGCGTATGGTCTCGCAACCATCGACCAAAAATGGCAGTGATCTAAGAAATGACATTGATCCAGAGTGCTACCGCATTATCTTGCGGCCTATTCCGTTCGCTGAACAAACCGCAGCATCTTCGGGTCCATTCGAGTGGTATCTTTTTAGGTAAGTTAGCCTGTGACCACGGGAATCGGAAGAAGGTTGCTGCCGGTTAGAGAGACCGGAACGGTTTTTAGTACATACAGCTTTTTGTGACAACCACATATTCCCTTCCCACCCCTGTCTGCTGGAGTCCACACGGCACAAAACGAACACCAGCATGGTGACCGGTCGCCCCGGTGGTCTAGTTGGTATCCGCGAAACCTTCTAGAGGTCACAGGTCAGGGGTTCGAATCCCGGCGTAAGCGAGCTTTTCTTGCAAAGTGAGTTTTTCTCTCGCTTCCGCTCCTGGTCTAGTGGATAGCGCTAGTTCGTGTGTACACAGAGGGAAGAGAGTGCTGAACTCTTCTAGCATTAAAAATTGAAGGCAAAGTACCGCAGGGGGGGAGGGTAGAGAGAAGCTCTTCTGTGTGACCACGGGTCGGAATAAACGGCACTAGTGCTGTGAGCGCTGATTTGAAGTGAAGATTAAAAAAAAAAAAAAAAATGGTAGGCGACGACGCCAAACATTTGAAAACAGGGTACAGTTGGTGAGAAAAGTAGACACAGCAGGGTATACCCTGCGCCTTTTCGGACGTACCGGGGTGAAATTGGGCGCTGACCAATCATATGAATGCATTTTGTGCTGTTAATGACTGTGTACCCAGGTGTGTCGCTTTTCGACCAGGGCATACCCTGTTGTGTCGTTTTCCCACATTTGAACTGGTTGATTTTGAACGACAAACCTGCACATAGACATAAGAGGTTTTTTGTACGGCTAGCGCAAATGGCCCGGTTCTCCCGCAAACCATCATCCGCACGACCAGAGAACACAGCACAGCAGTTGGGATCCTGATATTTATTTTTTGATACATGTATCCTCAGTTCTCCCCTTCACCCCTGCAGGTATAGTCCGATTCGTCCGGCCCTTCCCTACAGCACCTAAGTACCTTCGTCGCGCATTTCCTGGCCGTATGGTGTGAGGTGTTCCCGGGCCAAAATTGCTGTCATACCACGCAGGTTATCTTGGCAAACGCGGCCGCAAACGCTTATTACATGCGTGGCCTCCCCTGCCACGAAGACACGGCATTGCTCTCTACCAAAGCCCGGTCAATATTCCTATTTTTAGGGCCCCCTCAACATCATCCCTTGTCGGCAGTCGGGGACAGTGAGCAGTGCTAGACCTCAGTGGGCAGAGCGAAGAAGACCACCTCATGCTCGCGAATCGTACGCTTGTTGGACCATTGTGTCTATGCCGTCTAATAGAGCAGCGATGCACAACTCCGATGCCAATGCCAGCAGCAGCGACAGCAGCGAGGAGGCAAGCCTGGAAGGTGTGATGGAGAAGATCAACCGCCACTTGAGGGACCACCATGCCAGGACTAGCGACGAGTGCCAGGCCGTCATGAGCACCGTCGAGAGGAGCTTGGAGGGTCTGGTTGATAAGCACTTCAGCGTCGATGCTGAGCCATCCAGGGTATCGGAGATGCTGCTTTTCCATGTCATGTTTTCAGGGTGAGGGTTCGACACAGCAGCAGCAAAAGTTGGAGGCGAATTCGTTATATTCCCGCTTTGAAATTTGAAATGCACAGAAATATGCGCAGAGTGTCCTGCTGTCCTGATGTTCAGCAGCTGCAGCGCATGGCGTGTGTTCACGCCATTACCATTGCCGAAGCCTGTTGCTGCTACTGCTGCAACTGCCGTCAGTGCCTCCTGTCGTCTGCGGCAACGTCTATGCTAACACACGAGTATCACCTCAACCGATTTCTACGCAAGATAGCACCCCCTGATTACTGGGGGTATTCGTCTGACGACCAGTTGGCGGACTGGACACAGTAACAACGCACGTGTACCGACAACCCTTGGCTCTGATCCCATGACCATACTGGATAGCGATACCGTGCTGCAGGTTGTCACTCCCGTTCCCTTGTTTCACTGAAACACCTCTCTTCCTCTTCCGAATCCTGCCCGACGCCCTCCCCAATCCCCGCAGCCAGTCTTACCTCGAGTGTGAACACGCGCAGCTGGTCTTCGGCGAAGGTGGAGCGCGGGCGGTGTCTTTCCCGATTAGAAAGCTGTGCGCGTTGCTACCGCTGCCGCGGTTCGCCGGCCTTCAGCCCCGCCTCGTGCAACACGTCGGTCTGTTGGCGTCGCTCTGGCTTCCGCGTGACGCCGCCTCCCTTGTGGAGTTTTTCCAGGACTCTGTTGAGCTGCTCCAGGTGTGTGAGAGAGGTATCCGGAGAGGTCGCGGGAAGAATACTGCAATAGTTACTGTAGTTCGTTTCGTTAGATCTTATGGGTACGCATGGCGCACTTTGCTATGTTCGCTACCCGAAACTTGCGGTTAAGATTTGCTGTGCGTCTTCGAAATGAGTCCTCTGCCGCGAACTGTTTTTTTGTTTTTTTTTCCTCGTACTCGATCGAATCTCCTTAATGCATTTATTCTACGCGCGTCCTCATGTGTTGCTGGCGCTGTAATGACAGCCGGTCCGCTTTTTTCTCTTCCCAGACTGGGCCGTTTTTCCTTATCTCTAGTTGCGGCGACCCAGCGTACTGCGTTGTTTCCCGTGTAACGACAATGGTCAAACCCGTCGCGGCCGCCATTCAACACGCGCCGCCTCCTGGACCACTACTCCGTACGCCACCGTATCTCTGCCCCTGTCTCGCGCGCGTTGTTTTTTGGCTCGCCCCTCCCTGTGCATGCCTGCGCCCCCTAGAATCTGGAAAGGTTAGGCCGGATCGCAGAAGAACGAGGAGAGGCCAATGTCCTGGTGTCCGGGTAAGAAACCCTGTACTCCTGTACATCCAACCGGTAAAATCGAACACCTTCGAGCACCAACACGCGGTGTCGACCTGGTTTGCGGTTGTGCTGGCATGACCTATAACAACCAAGCTGTGTTTATGTTGAGGGAGACTACGACGACACGTACGTGGTAAAGGTTTTCGTTTTTTCCCGTAAAGATGAAGACCGTCCGTGGTGGCAACTTTGAATATGGCAAGGGAAACATGCTTCCTCTTTGCAAAATTCGAAGTGCTTTCCCGGTGCATTTTATTCCTCGCCAAGCCCGTTCACAAGGTACTCAAATCGTACTGTGACGAAGCCTTGCGTGTAGAAATACGCACTACGGGTTGCGAACACGACAAAAGACGGTTTTCGCTCCGGGCCAGCGTTGATAGTATTAGTGTTTTCGGTGATTGGCGTACGTGCCCTCTGTGAACAAGGGGCCAAATGCCGTGCGCACACCTCCTGTTCCTGCTGCTGGTTCCACACATCGCTGCTCGTGTGCGTCTGTCCTTCGTCTTTTTGCGGGGCGGGGAGCAGGACGCGAGTGGTGTGTTTCGCTCGTCTGGGGAAGGGCCTCGGACAGGGCCCTCTGGACATCGAGCTTTCTTCCAGAGAACATTTCTCTCTCTTCCGGGTGAGTGTCTCCGAACGAGGAGGGAGATAGCGTGACTTGTCCCTCTCAAGAGTTCGGGCACTATTTTCGCCTAAAACACCGTTCCACCAAGCTTGATTTCACCATTCTTCGCAGAATGCAAAATTTGGGCACCCCTGCGTCTTCCAATGTAGATGGTGATTTGTCTCGGTGATGGCGTCGCCCGGACACAAAGTCACCGGTCGGACTCCCGCCGTTTCCCCCTCTCCGGTGAATTCGGCCCTCTTTTTCGCGTATTCAGGCGTCCATGACAAGTATCACGGTGGCGGTCGGCGCGCTCATGCCAGCGGTGAGTCTTGCGTATGCGCTGGAGGAAATCCTTGTACGTTGACGCCGCTGTAGGCATGCCTCATTCTAGTTTCAGCCAGCCCCCTGCCGCTGTTCGCGCTCGTTACGGTTTTACCGTGTGAGACGGGGATGAAGCCTGCCTGATTCCCCCCCCCGCCCGCTCGTCCTTATTATTTTGTGCGTGCGTAGCATGCTTTGGGTGTGTTTCTTCCCTCCCCCTCTCTTTGGACTATAATCCTTTCGTGCGCACACTGGTTCTCTACTACAAGACCGCAACAGGTGCTCATGCAAACTCCCAGCTGTGGTCCCTGTTAGGACGACAACTCGACAAGGAACTTCGACCGGACACGCAGGATTTGCTCCAGGTGAGTTGCAACCCAAGCGCAAAGCGGGGAGAGCAGGGGTCGTTGTGGGGGCTGGAGTGGACGGTTCATTCAACCTGGTGGGACAGCCTGTGTCGCTTGTGTTCTAGGGTCTAAACATAAGTCGCCACCCCGAAAGGTTTTGGTTGTGTTGAAGGAGAAAGAATGTACCAATCCCGCCCACACTACTTCTTCGCTGTACACGAACGTGTGACTTGTTGCACGGGGACAGCAGCGGGTGGCCATACCCCACCAAACGAACAGCGAAACGGCCATGAATGCGTTTACACCTGGAGCATGCCAGCAGCAACCAGTCGTCCCAATTCCCACGTTTCGTGTTTCCTCTTTCTCGTGGAACCTTCGTTTGCCCTTGCCTCAGGTATCACTGAAGGCTCTGTTGGTACTCCTCGAGAAACCCCCTCCTGTGGGAGCAATGCCTCAGCTGGGTATCAGCTGCGTTCGTCTTGCGGGGCGTGCGCTGTGTCCGCCTCTCGGTGCCGATGGAAGCGAAGCAATGGATGCGGGGGGTGCTAGCGATAGGGAGTACTCAGCAATGGCGCTTGAGCACCTGGCGGCCATCCAGGTGTGGAAAACCGCTCTCGGGACGCCCGGTGGATATTGGCGACTAATCGGCAAGGATGGCATACGGAACAGCGGCCAGCCATCTTATTGCCCGTTGCTGAAACTGCATACATAATAGCTTTCCATATTTTATTTCGTTGGTGTGGATGGCACATCGACCCACCCGTACCGGAACCCGCAACTTCGCTGTCCTGTTATGTCTTGTGGCAGGACCTGGCCACGAGGTGCCTCCGGCTAGTATTCTCAGGGTCGTACCGCAAGCCGCAGCCGAAGAAACGAAAAGCAAGTCGAACCAGCGGCGCGAGAGCAGTGAGAGTAGCTTTTGCCGGAGGGTTGCGCAGACCACGGCGGCGGCAGCGGCTTCAATCAACGAAAAAGGCCGCCGCGGCTGCCAAAGCATTTGCCCCGAAAGCAGGAGGGGCAGGAGCAGGAGCAGCAGCAGCCGCTACGGCGTGTTTCACGTCTCTGTCTGCCACACTGCCGTGCATCGCGCGGTGGTGGGCCAGTTGCCAAGGCTCTGTCGACGAGGTCCACGGAGCAGCGCGGATGAACACCACAGAAGCGGCGGCCCTGGCGAGAGCCATCGCGGCGGCCTATGCTTCCGCGGTGGAGATTGCCGGCCAGCACCCGTCCGCTGGAAAGGTGTCTGCGATAGTGGCCACTGCCTCGAGGAAGGCGACGGCGAAGGACAAAACGCCGCAAAAGAAGAGGGGTGCCGAGACTCCGCGAGGTTGGGACGCAGGGACGCCCAGGTTTGGGGCCGGACCCACTACTCCACGCCCTGCAGCCGCACGGCGACCCGTCGCCAGTTCTACC